TATACGTACACACTTGATGAGAGGTATTGCAAATAACTAGTGAAGTTTAAATAAATATTGTTAAATATGAGTATTGCTCTTTGGTTTATTAACTAGAGGATGTTGCACGTTGTGGGTCTACTGGGAGCTGGTTGTAGAGTCATAGTGTCTTGACCGTGATAAAGAAATATTGCAAATAAAATGTGAATAATGCACATGGAAAATGATATACTGCACATTTTATTGACTTGTTGCACATGAAAGTGGAATATTGCACATGATAATTAAGAAAATAAAGCTGAAATATGGCACCTAAAAAAAGAAATATTGCACATTACACTGACATGTACATTAAAGTAAATACTTATAATTAAATATTGCAAATACTTCAAGACTAGTAAAGTCACTATCATCAATATAGTTGGGGGACATTTTACTTCCTGTACTTTTTTTCTCATGTATAGGAAGGTTATCACTGCTTAGACCATCACTTTACAGCTTTTTATCCAAACAAACTTGCCTCTAACTTTATTTCACTGCACAACAGTTTAGATATTAGCTGTGACAGGACAAGTGGTGTTGCTTTTTTGCCTCTAGCGGACCGTTTTGTGGTCCTTGGTCCGCAGTTTGGGCACCAGTGTCCCGCACTGGCCGACCTCTGCTCTCCGGCTCTCTGCCTCCGACTCCGCCTCCCTCGGAGCACCAACACACGAGCGAGCGACTCCTTCAGCCCGCCTGCCGCCACCCCGAAGCCCCTCAACGGCTCCGGCTCGTTCCGCCTTCCCCCTCCCCAAAAAACTGGACTTCACAGCGCCGAACCCTCCTCAGATGTGCTCCTACTTTTAGAAAGGGAGTTTGAAAAATAAAAAAATAAAAAAAGAAGAGTCAAACTTTAAAAAAAAAAGCTGAGGCAGGCAGGAGTTGTTGCACCGGGGAAGTTTTTTCCTCTTTTTTTTTTGCCCCCCGGTTTTTTGGCCCCGTGGCGGGGCAGGACAGCGAGAGTAGGCCGGGGGTGGGAAACAAGGCGACCGTATGATGTGGATCTGGTACCTCCTGCTTGGTTCGGGGTCCGGCTCAAGAACTGTTGGTAAGTTTTGTTTATTTATTTATTTTGAAGAGAAGCTCGCGGAAACTATTGTTGTTGTGACGGCGCGCGGACACGCTTCGTGGGTTTGAGGAAAAGAGGAGGAGGGGAGGAGGGAGGGGGGGGGCTTTAAATCTCGCTTTTATTTCCTCCGACGAGTTTCCTCAAAACTTATCGGAGCTTTGACATGAAGTTATCACACTTTCCATTCCTTTCTTGCTAATTAGGAAGTGTTAGCAGCCGGCGGCTTGCACAGTTTTTCCATTGTTTTTGTTGTCGTGCATTGCACTGGCTGCACGTCCCCTTCACCTCTGGGTGGGAATATATAGATATATATATATATATTTATTTTTCTTGCAGGAGACACCCTCCCTCCGTATCCGTTCACCGTGGCTCTCCTTCTAGCGACGTTATGACCGAGGGGTTGTTGACAGGGCAGCCAGTGTTGACAAGTCAATCTGTTCTGCAGCCCTGCGCTGGCAGCTGGGGCCCGGTGAAGGGCACTGCTGCGGGGGTTTATACTTAGGACAGCCAGTTGGCACTTTTATTAAAAAAAAACAAAAACGATGCAGATTTGAGCTGGTGACACACATCCACCGATTAGTTGTGCTGCAAAAATTTTTTTTTTTTTTTTTAAAGTGATGCCCTGGAGTCAGCTACAGTCACGTGGTTATCAATGAACAATCTCCCAGTCAATGATAGCAGTCATGGTTTATTTCTAAGGCACTTGATAAAAAACAAGCTTCATTTCATTCATAAAAAATACACAATGCAAGCACAAACAGATGTGGGTCTTTCCAACTCAAATCATCCTGTTTTCACAAAAATCTCTGCTCAGCTCATCTCTGATTGGCTGGAAGGTTTTCCAGCATAAGATAAGGACATCCATCCATCCATCCATCTATTATCTATACACCGCCTAATCCTCACTAGGGTCATGGGGGGCTGGAGTCTATCCCAGCTGACTCAGGGTGAAGGAAGGTTCACCTGGACAGGTAACCAATCTATCACAGGGCCACACTTACGCTGTGTTCACACCTGACGCGAGTAAAATCATTCGCGCGAATGATCTACATGTAAAGTCAATGTGAGGATGCCATTAGATGTGGCGGGAATGATGCGAATTGAGCGAGTCATTAGCGGGAAAGAAGCGATTCTAGCCGTGCTAAATGTGTGTAACATGCGAATGACTCTAATTCGCGTTAGACGCGCAAGTTGAAAAATCTGAAGTGTTGCGATCTTTCGTGCCTCGATGACCAATCAGCCAGTTGAGATTCTCTGGTGAAGTCAACAACATGATTCATTCAGTTTTTGCAACAACACTGTGAATACTGACTGATTTACTCACCCCAAGAGAGAATATCCTGGTACCGATCCTCTCCAACAGGTAGTCAAACTGGGTCCGGATCAGTGGAAAATAGCTCTGGAAGCGGCAGTCATCCATCTGCGTGGAGTCTCCATGTTCTCCCCGTGCAGCGTGGGTTCTCTCCGGGTTCTCTGGCTTCCTCCCACAAGGTCCAAAAACATGTTGAGGTTAATTGGTGATTGTAAATTGTCCGTAGGTGTGAATGTGAGTGTGCTTGGTTGTCTGTCTCTAAGTGTAGCCCTGTGATAGACTGGTTACCTGTCCAGGTGAACCTGCCTTCACCCTGAGTCAGCTGGGATAGACTCCAGCCCCCTGCGACCTTAACGAGGATTAAGTGGTGTATAGATAATGGATGGATGTTTTTGGACTGTGGGAGGAAGCTGGAGAACCCAGAGAGAACCCACGCTGCACGGGGAGAACATGGAAACTCCATACACAAAGATCCCAGGTGTCCTCACTGGGACGTGAACCGGCGACCTTCTTGCTGCGAGGCAACAGTGCTAACCACTGAACCACCTTTCAGGTCTAAGACAAGGATATTCACTACATTTTAACAGCATTTTTCACACGTTGATATTTGAGGCAATGTTTGAGCAAAAATATCTAAGCAGCAAATATTACGACATAAACCTACACACGATATGGGAAATATTACTAGCTGACTTCTGTGTGATCATTTTTTGTCTTATTTGTTTGTTAAAATGAGACTTTTCATCATTGCTTCAATTTTTATTCACATTTCGGCTCACTCATAATCAAAGTCTGATTATTTTTTTTACCATTATTTGTCCAAGATTGCAGATTCTGAATCAATAACATGATGAGAAACAACAATGACAGTTTCAGGCTTTTATTTTTTAAAAGTTCCTCAGATATGTCTGTGCAATGTGCAGAAAACACGGTGACAGTGGGCAATTTTGAAGAGAATTATCGAACATCCTGTTAATATCCATCTGAAATTTTTCAGATGTGTTTTTTAAATACCCACAGTTTGTGATGGAAAAGTTTCAAGCAAATCAGGGATGGTTGAGCAGAAAGATGTGAGATGGAATAAACCCACTGTGTAATCCTGATGTAGTAAAAAGAAGCTTTTACTGGAGGCAAGTAATTGAGCATATGCATGTTTATCTTTGTTTTAAAATGATCTTTCTAGATGTACTGTACATTTTAAGATCTGTTCTGCAACCTAGGTTTAGGAATCGAGTGGAATTACGTGTAAAAAGGTAAATTATCAGCGATATATTCTGCTTTGAAGCAACGCTTGATGTGAATGAAACCAAAGCATTGTTGAAGTTTCTCTCGCCGTGATTTGAGGTGAACTTTAGTCACATCTAAATTATATTACATCCTAATGTGCTAAACAGGTTTCGCAAGTGGGGCTTTAAATGGGCTTAGTTCAAGCACTAACCTCCGGGGCTGAAAATTGCTAACGCTGAAGTGCCAAAAAGTGCAGCTCCTCAAATGCCTACTGGCTCTATTCTATTTGCTGGCTCCGAAAGCGAGACACTCCCCACAGACCTCCATGTGAACATGCCCGACGCTACAGCAGAAACAAACAAGTTCACAGCCGAGTGATGAAACGCTTTTGGTCTCCGTTGCTAATTTGCCCATTCATCACAAAATGAGTGGATTTTTCGATAACTCAGCCATTTAAATTGTATTAAGGCTCAAACGTTGTGCATCATTAAAGGGCATACAGCTGCTTTGAGTTACAGGTGGGAGCCATCGTAGGACAGTGCTTGGCTCGCATTAGCTCCACTCCGGCTCTTTGCTCATTTTTGGATCGGCTTGGAAGTCGGCGGAGTCGGGTACTGCCAACATGGTGATGGCTGAAGCCGCCACTACCATATCCATACTTCCATACTATGTAGTATGCCAAAAAAAAGCTAGATTAGTATATATATATGGGGCGGCTGAAACTCAGGTGGTAGGGCGGGCTAGTCAATGATCGGAAGGTCAGCGGTTCGATTCCGTCCTGTAACCTGTGTCATGGGCGTTGTGTCCTTGGGCAAGACACTTCACCCACCTTACCTGGTGTGAAGTTACTCCTTGACTTAAATATTATCCCAATGCAGGGTATGTCAAATCCAGTACGCCAAGATTACCCGGATTATCCTTAAAGTATGCAAGTCAACACGGCTCATTCTGACCCACAATCCTCTGCAGTGTGCACAAACACACGACATTTTCGTACCACAGACTGTAACGGTCAAAGTTTAGGGTGCGATGTTATGACGGAGTATAATGTCCTGGTTGTACGACGCAGGAAGCAGTTTGGAATTCGGATCACAGCCTGAGTTTTAAAACCGCGATTTAAGAAACCCGTGGGCGATGTTGTTGAGGAATTGATAATCTTTACATGCAGTCAATAGTGTAGCTGAAAAAGCTCAAAGAAGACATGTTGACATGTCGCTGCGGCAAATAACAGAATAAATGGTGGCTGATAGGCTGGGAGGAAGCTTCAATTTCCATTCTTGGTGCCACGAAATAATTCAAAATGAAATCTTGATTCAGTAACGAGAAAAGGGAGAAGCTACAAACCACTGAGTCCTCTCGTCTGTGCTCTGGCCTGCAATCGAAAAACAACTCCCAGTAAAAGGGTTAACTGCTATTGATGAGGGTCATTGTCCAGTTGTTGCTCTTAACCATTGAGTTCCTCCCACGTCATGTTGTTAACGTCATTACTTACAAACAAAACTTTGGCATTTGTGAATAGATTCAGAAGATAAGGGTTCTTGCATGAGTTCCATCTAGTGGCTCAGTTCCTGCTATTGTGGATTGTCACCCCGTCACGTCTCACTGGGACGCTTTAAACAATGGGGCTGTTATTAATGTTATTAGCAACACCTCAGGTTTCCTACTACAATAAGTCAAAATGTCTGCTGTGCTAAAAAATAAAAAAAACAGTTTCTGTAAATGTCAGTGAGAGTGAGGCGCAAATATGATTATATTAGGCGTGGAGCAGAGATTTAGTGTGAACTGCCAAAGCCCACTCTGTTTTTCTCTGCTGGAGCAAAGGAGCATGCACCTATGATTAATGTCAGAAATTTCCTCCCAGATTATTACTGTAGTTTGTTTTCTTCTGTATTGCTTATGTGTTGTCAGCTCTGAATAAACAAATTGTGCTTCAGGGTTTTATTAGCTGGCGACCTGACCGGAGTAATAATGCCGTCTTGATATAAGATATCAGCCAGGAGCGCCTTTATGCGAGTGTTTTGTATTGTTTTATAGAAGTTATAGGAGAGCGTGGCTATTACCAAGCCGGTGTTGTCGTCGCTCAGGACGATGGTATTGATTGATATCACAGCCTACCAATAATAGCACAACTAAATTGCCATATTTTGCATTCAGTTTGACATTTGGGCCAGAAATTATAAAGGTCCAGCGCAAATTCAAAATCAATTTGCTTTTTTTCGGACCTGGGCAATACCTATTAAAATGTTAATCACAATATTGACATTTGAAGATATGGCAACAGAAAATCATGTTGGCAGGATTCCCCACCTCTCCTACAGCCGGTGCTAAAAATAATAAGGCCAGTAAAATATGTATGAGTGGTGTGGGTGTGCTTTGTTCACAAGTTGTGCTGTTTTCTTTTTCCGAATATTTTACTACCTACACATAGCTGCAGCTTTGA